AGCCTGTAAGTGCTCAATGTCACTCGTTGTCGATTTACGTAAATACTTTTTATGACAAAGTTGAATAATAACTTTAGAAAATGTATAGTATAAACACGTGACTTGATACTCCGACATTACATCTTAAAATATTCGTCGAACATATCAGATGTTCCGTACGCCATCTGACATAGCGCAACGGCCTGGAGGCTGCTAAAACCACACTAGCCTCTCGCATCACAACATTGCGTGACCCAAGGCACCTAGCATTCAATATCGTGAGTATGCGTAAAAAAGAGAACGACTCATCCGAAAACAATCGCACAAAGTATTGAAGTAGTCGTTGGGTAATGAAGCGTGTACAACTATCCGATCATGATTTAAATTTTAAACGCTCACGTCATGTCGGCATCATCATCGGGAGGATTTTGCTTGTTCTCGTTGCCTTTGTTGCCACCATTGATCGAAAACAACCCGTCATGAAACAAAAAAATGAGAGCTCTTTTTTCATCGTCAGATGATGATCCCATTTTTCAAATATTTTATGGAGAAAATTAAAAGAAATAGAATATATTTTGAAGGAAATATGGAGAGAATGATAATAAGTTGTGTGTGGTTGTTGTGTTAAAAATTAGAGATTTATAGTATTGAAAATAAAAAAAAATCTAAATAATGACCAACAACATTTTATAGTCGTTTGGGCCACCAACGACTCTCTCCCTCTCCTTTTCTCAGCGTTAAACATTTGGCAAGGTGACGCCCGTATAATGCGGTAGGGGGGGCGATGTTTAACGTCCCACTTGCGTTAAACGGCTCATGACGCCCCCCTCCCCCCAATGTTACGACCATTATATTACTAGTGGTCTTAAATTAAATTGGACAAAATTTATTTATCAATTACTTTAAATTTTATTGTATATTAATAATGAAAAATCTTATTTATCACATCTTATACTCGGTATTATATTTAAAAATTAAATAAATGGGTAATGAAAGAAGTTATCATTAGAGAGTGTGAATTGTAAAAAAAAATTTATTTAAATACATAGAGCATATAATTATGAAAAAGGATATTTATGTATATTCACACGCATATTAAAATAACTAATTAATGAAAAAAAAAAGATAAATAGTGCGGACAATAAATAATTGAAGAATAAAAAAACCCATATGGGAATTTTCCTAGGCTAGAAGCTTAGCAGGAGGGAAGACAAATCAAATTCGCAAATCGCAATGATTAACTAATAAATTTTCAAACACACAATAAATAAATAAGGAATATGCTCCTCCGTATTTGATGTGAATAAATTTTCAAACACTCCGTATGATTAATTGATGATGAAGCTCACTAGCCCCGTTAATTATACCCTTCCGTTCCTAAATATTTGTCACACTTTTATTATCGAGGTAAAATATCAAGTTTTTTCAATCTATTCTATTTACATATTAGTATAGAAATAAAAAATGAAAAACTTTTTACTTTTTTCAAAAAACTACATGGAAAATTCTTTGAAATAAGAGGTGTCAAGAATATTTTATTTTATTAAATAACCAATGAAAACATAGAAATAAACAAAAGTTTCGGTAAGTGCTAAAAAGGCAAGTGTGGCAAATATTTTGGAACAGAGAGAGTAACATTTTTTAGCCTCTCCATTGCAAATCTTTTTACTCTTTGCATTACTCAGGTTACTTTGGGTTCTGATAAATTCGAGTTGGGATTGAGAGCTAGATGTTCATGACCTAATATCATTGAGGTTGGGTCGATTCAACGGGTTATGACTTTCATTTATTTTTTGAAATTTTAAGTAATGTTTATGACTGATTATCAATATTACGAATAAAAAACTTTGTATGCAAATTTTTCTAAGAATGTAAGATAATTATGCAATATAATTAACATTTTATTTTATAACATTATATTACATATTAAAGCATATGATTTTCGAGTTCGGGTTCGGCCAAGTTTGACCCATTTTTAACGGGTACTTTCGAGTTCGGTCAACTTCAGATTCGGTTAGCAAAATCTTTGTTCAAAACCTAGTATTTTCAGGCCGGCCTCCGTTCAAAAACAGGTCGGATCATTTTTTGTCAGGCCTAACATAGAGTACTGTTAAATTCATTCAACTTGAGCATCGAACAATAATTAATCACCCCATGTAAGCTCCTCCAGGCCTAAGTAATCTCATGTTTGAACAATTTGTCAGATTAATACTCAGTACCACTTTACCCATCACATCAGGGGCAAATTTGGAAGTCAACTACAATTTTACACTTCCTTATTTTGGCTACAAGTCAAAGTAGGAACCTTTTTTGCAAACGGAGGAAGTATATGTTTGTCTGTTTCTCAAATCTAAATAAGTTGACAATAGTTCAATATGTCCAGAGAAACAACAAGGGAAGATCGAGAAGCAAAGGAACAAGAGAGGAAAGTGGTGTAATACTAAATTTATTTATCAGCTAAGGGAACTACATAAGATAGATAGATAGCATAGAAAACAAATAATACAACTCAACATATATGTTTCAGAATAATCCCTTAATTAGTCGGTCACTAATATTATAATAATGGTGCAGAATCAACATGTATGTTTGAAACAACAGCTGAATTAAGAACATTAATTACTACTAGCTAGTGATGATTATTATGCCTCGCAAATTCAGACAGAGCACAACTAATCTAACGGTGTTTTTGAAAGATAATACCCAAAACACGAGTCCTGCAGAGGGGACACCGAAACTCCGTTCTTAACCACTGCCTGATGCACTTGTCATGAAACATGTGCTTGCAGTGCACTGCTCCAACCATATCTCCCGCCCCATATTCTTCGTGACAAATCACACAAATCCCATCATCACTTTCTTCTTCTTCTAATAATAATGCCTTTGGTGGCAAATCATTCATAATTCCTTCCCAGCGCAGCAGAGACTCTGCCATACTCCTAGCCCTATTAGAATCATACTCATCGTCCACAAAGTCCAACACTTGACCCTGTGAATTGTAGTGCAAGTACGAAGCTCGGACCACCGACCCGTCCTCCTCGTTCACTGTGAATAGCAATCGGCACATTCTGTAAGGTCGCCGCCCATCATCGACAGCCGTCATGGTTTTGAAGAGAGCTTCGCTGTAATCGTAGATCCACGATAATATCCCTTCGCGTGCGCTAAATCCCCGCGGCTTGAGTTCCATCAAATAATCAAGGGGGTCACCAGGTCCTGCATTCACAAATAACAAACCCCTTTCTCTTGGGTGCACAATACCCCATGAAAACGACGAACACATTATTGATTATAAACAAGATGCAATCGGCCGGCCGGCCGGATTACTCTCGATCAGCTCGCCTCCCTCTGATGATGATGATTTTCGGGAATGAATGAGAAAGAAGAGAATGGTGTTTGAGTGCGTGGGAGGGGATGGAATTATATATATTGGGCTTAGGTTTCTCATCTCCTATCCTATTCCTACTTTATTTAGGAAAACCTACCTACCTATTTATTTGGGAGTATATAGAAATCCTAAAAACGTTAGAATAATGTTTGAAAAATTAATAGGAAATAAAACAAAAAATAAAAAGAATTAAATAAATAGGAAATAAAACAAAAAATAAAAAGAATATCCTTTTTAGGCATCCTAATTCTTAGGACTTTTTAGCCATTTTAAAAATTCCTTTTTCTATAAGAATTTTTTTGTATGTTTTAAATTTTTTTCATTTTCATTTTTCCATATTTTTATATTTAATTTCTGAATCTTCTTTTTGAGCTTACCAAAAAAATTATCCTAAAAAACAAAAAATGAAAATGTTCAATTTGAGATGGATCTGTATATGTTGTTTTTTCATTTCAAACACAAAAGAGTTTTGAATTTTCACAAACATTATAAGAAATTGGAAAGAAATTTTAAAAACTTTTTTAGAAAAAGGAAACAAATAGAAAAAACAAGAAAAAATGAGCTCTAGTGCCCCTATGGTTTATAAAATAGGCATCAATACATTATCTACGTCAGAAAAAGACCAGACAATGATCAAAAGGGTTATGCGCATAACGTTTTGAAACCACCTGAACTTTAGAAATAAATTTTGAAAATAGAGAGAGTATCAATTTCAATTTTCCAAACCACATGGGTACTAAAACTATTTGACCTACACAATAATCATTTACCTTTTTACCGCTCAAATTACAATTACTTCCGGGTCTTATAATTGTCAAAATGCCACTCAAACTAGTTAAAATTTGTGATATTATATATACTCTAAATAGACTTTCCCCACCCGTACACAGACTCCTGCCCGCGGCGGAGGAGGCACTGGTCACGGTCAAGGACAAAAATCGTGAGGAGGAACTGGTGGCCGTGGCGATGGCTCTGGCGGCCCTAGCAGGGGTGGACCGACGACTTATACAACAGGGGTAGGAGGTACAAACGGAGAGCAGGAACCCTTTTCCAAATAGCAATGGAACGCTTTGGTGGAAATGTTGAAAGAAAAGGAAAGGCCAGCTTGACAAGTTTTCAAGTATATCTGAAACATCTTGAAATCAGCCCATAGCTATGCCGCCATAAGAGCATGCCTTCTACGTATTTGAATATCAAATAAGGAAACCAATAATGCCACATTTTTAAAAGTAAAACTAATGTAGTGTTTGGGACAAAACTTACACTCCATGTGATGATGTGAATGATAGATACATTTAAAGTAAACCATGTATTCTCTCCAACCTCCATCTCGAAATCAAACTCAAATTTATATTTTTTCCATCTCAGAAATAGATATGTGAACAATTTTCTCTTCCAAATAATTTGACCCCAAAATTTTACATTTCACCAAATATTTTTCTTTATTAACGGTTTTTAAAAATCATAATGTTAAATTACAAGTTAATTTAGAGACGAATAAGCAGAGGCATAGCTCAACTGCTAAAGTGTCAAAAGAACTTTTTGGAAAAGAGAATCCTGGTTGGATTCCCATACTTTCGCTTAGGCCAACTTTCAAGCCTCTGATGGGGATCAAGGATTAGTAGACCCATGCATAAGACTGACAAAGACTGGTAATCGCTAGTAAGGCCATCACAAGTGTGCCAAACGATTAATCTTGAAAAGAGCATATGGTTACCTAGCTTTCACCCATTACAAGTCCCTAATACGCCCAAAAGTATAAAAAGACTAGAAATTATAACAAGAAAGGGTCGCTTATCATTTCAACTACGAGTGTTACAAACAAACACCAAACGTTAAATGTAGCAAAATATCAAATAGTAGTTGATGGGAAGTCCACAAAAACAAAGTAATGAAACCCGATAAACGGTCTTTCAGATGTTCCGAGAGAGTGGAGCGCTTTCACAGATCTTGCACACTCAAACCTGCAACAATTGCATAAACATAATTATTTAGAAAGTGAATACAGCATGATTCAGGTGTGGAGGGTTTTTGGCATGGAATAAAACCCATAACCGGAAGCACACACGCATAAACATATCATGAATGGTAGAATTGTAACATCAAAATCTTAAGCAAGTATATCGAAGTCAAACACATCTAATTGAAGCCTGTTACAAGTAGTTGACTTTCCTTTGAGGATCTGTTTGGAACTAATAAAATACCAGGGAATGATATATGGAAGGAAATGAAAAGGATATATGTAACAAAACTTAATGAGATGAAATTACTAGCCCGTATTAGATTAGGGTTTAGAACCCATCCAAACTCTTTTAGATAGTCTTCTAATTCATTTTTATTTAGATACTTCTGTTATACACTTTTCGGTGTGAATGCAAAGAACCCTACTAATTGTAGGAAGATAATAAAAACTTCACACTGAAAAATGATTATCGTGAGATGTTAAACATAAATGCAGAGCTAATCAACATAGATACATAGATATAACCACTATGACCCTATACAATTTATACACCTAGTGGAAAACTCAATTACTAGGAAAAATCTTTTGTATCAGTACTTGGTCACTTAACAACCCAGCAGCCAGTGCAAGACATAATTACTTAAAGTAGAACCCATTGTCCTTACCTGGAGGGAGAGATTTCTTCAACTTGTCAGCTTTCTCCAAATCAAACACACATAGGGTGTAAAGGTACTTGGAACACCGAACCTTGAACTTCACCACATCTTTCCCCTTTTTGATCCTGACCGATCGTGCATCCTTCCTTCTGGCAGTAAGCAGGAAATCCTTGATATCGTGAATTTGCTTCGGCTAACATTTAATAGCATAAGTATTAATAAAAAACATCACAAGGGAGTAATAATTCATCTGAACAATTCGTAGGAGGATGCATTAATATTGTGCTGCTAAATAAAACATGACCAAATAGACATGGAAAGTCCACTCATAAATTAGGACCAAGGAGAATGAGATCTAAGCAAATACTACCTCTACACTAAAAAGTAGAGAGACTGCTTCCAAGCAGGTAACATAAACAAGGAGCCAAGAAATGGCCACACAATGCTCCTCAAACTAAAAGTCTAGGAGAGTCCCAAAAGTGATTTATCATTGCACAGTTGACCACTTATGAATAAATTGGAACACAAATGTTAAAAGATAAGACACAATTAAAATCCCAGACATAACTCTTATGGATGACAAAGGAGTGCATTATACAATATGCAATTCAGAAAACCAAGTATTGACAGATAAATACATCACATTTTTGCCAAAAGTGAATGTCTATAGGATCTGTGTATGCCAAACTCACAGTTAAGGATGAGATAAACTAACTCCCACAAATACAATGTAGTGAGATCTAACAAGCATGTATCATTGTTCATTTGTTCGTCGAAAGAATAGACATTTCCATTACGAAATGGTTAATCATTTCATCAGTAATCTATGCATAATTAAATTTCAGCTCGCCTAAATCGCCTTCATTTAAGATATTTTTTATGCATTCCGTTCCTCCTACAAGATTCCTTCCTCCTCCTCGTTTTATCTCAATCTCCGCCATTTCCAGCTAAATTTCTCTTCGATTTAATCACACAGACATCCGGTAAATCATAAAATCACTATTTTATGTATCAAATTAAGAAAAGCATAGATAGCATCACCTTTTGAGGATATAAATCGAAACACAAAAGCAAGAACATTGAAGAATAATGGAGGTTGAAGCTTACCATCTTCTCTTGCTCCTTCGAACCGCCGCCTACTGCGTCAGAACTCAAGAGAAGCTCGAATGATATGCTTATAGCCCTTCTGGTAATATCGAGCGGCGCTTAAACCCTAGGTCTCGACCTTTTTTCCTGACTATATTACCCCCAACGATCCATGTTGCATATACTTTCGGCCCATTTAGAGGCTCTTATGTCACATTAAAGGACTCGCATCCACTAGACATAATCAAATTTAATTTTATTTTCTTTATCTCTTCTTCGGAGTATTTGATAAGATAATAGAGTAATTGTCATTATATATTTTGTAGAGCTTTTGATATATTTCATAGTTTTTAAATATATACATTTTATTTTTTAATGCAACCATAATTGTCTTACAAATTAAAATAAAAAAATAATTTTAGTCAAAATCGTAAACTAAAATAAGACTGAATAGATATAAGTGATATCTTCTTATATCAGATTTTATTAATATTTGATGAAACATAAAAAGAATTTAGATATAATATCTCGAGATATAACGAACAATCCAAATTATTTACATAAATATATGGACATACAAAATTCTATTGTAAATTTATAAAATTCCTTTTGGTTTTTAGATATGGATAAAAAAAAATTGGACTAAAAGATTCTAATCTTTTAACGAGGCATTTAGAAATGCTCATATTGTATAGGCGGCTATACAAGAACTATGGTACAGTCAGGTGGTACTCATTTTGGAGTAGAGTTAATACTCATTTTCGCACAAAGCACAAGTGTTCATTTTGGAGTAATTTAGAGGGTTTGTTATATCTCGATATTGTGAGAATGAATATATCAAACCCTCCAAAATTGTGAGAATGAACGCTAAGTGTTCTCGAGATATAACAAACCCTCCAAATTATGTACATAACAACTTAGCGTTCATTCTCACAATTTATTCATATCAATTATAGTATTCATTTACGAATAACGTAATATTCATTTTCAAACAAAACAATGTTCATTCTAAAGCAACTAAGTATTCGTTCTAAAGAAGTTAATTGAAAATCAAACAAGGCAATGTTCACGTGATCTGATTGATTCTGATTTAATTGGAATAAGTTCTGATCTGAATGTAATTATATTTAAAACTATATTTTTAGTCTAATCTTATCTAATTTTCATAAGAATATGTAATAAGAAAAAATTAGTTGGGGAGAATATAACCTTAATTGCCTTACTTTTATTAAAACATGCAAAAGAAATGACGACAGTACTACTTGTACTACCCCCGAAAGAAACATTGTCGCTTGATTGAAAAACGGAAAAAGTTAATCGGAAGATTTACAATTTATCTTTCTCAAGAGCTCACAATGAAGGGCATGTTTGACACCTGAAATGCCAACTTTTTGTCAAGGGTTGGATTGTTTGCTCTAATTACTCCCACTGTTTCATAAAAACTTCATATCTTTCCACTGGTGATCTGAGACTAAGGAACATGACTGATGGGATGGTCCAGCATATGAAATCATATGCCTTGGTCTAAGAAGGGTCTACCCAATGCAGCCAACAAACAAGAATAGCCGATTTGGATCGAGGCTTGGTTTAAGTGGACCAGCATTGTTCTGAACTATGTGCAACATTTTGAAGGAGGTTCTGGAGCCCTTCATAGCTCAAATCCTGAATGAATTTGACAAAGTAATGGTAGCTCAAATGCTAGTGAGAATATGGAATTAATTACATGTTGGGTAAGCAGTGGCAAAACAGGTTAGCTTAGTACCACAAAAGTCAATGAGCAACAATAGTATGGGTATGGCATGCTTACTGATAGTATTGTGGCCATGGAGAGATAAGGCTGCCAAACTGGTTTGGTCACACAGATGGCAAGAACACCATTTGACCTTTCCTTCTCCTCCGTGTAGAAATTTCTATAAACTTCAACTCCTGAAAATTTCATGTCTCGAAGATATTGAATCCTATAATGTTTGCTATGAACTCTAACTCTCCCTCGAAACGATATTTGTTTGATGTTGGGCTGTCCTAAAATCATGTTACCTGCTTCTATAGATTCAACTCCTGGAAGTACTTTGGAGAGAGGCTCTGCTTCTAGCATTTCACGAAACGAATCATAATGATGAACATCCTGCAATTTACCTCAGTGCAGATTATCATTCTTGGATATGCAAAATATCTGTAACCAGATATTTAAAAAGTAAATTTGGCATTTTTACCTTAACCTGAAGAACTAAACATTTATTGATAAGGATTGAAGCTCCCACTTCAATTCTTAACACCAACACAAATCATCGTTAGACACTTATAAATAAACAAATGCTATGCGTGTCCACATCACAACCAGAGGCAGCAAACAATATGTTGATATCATGATATGTAAACTTTATGCAGACATGTTTTTTTTTTCACTTCACTCAAGTGATAAGATATGATCTTACTTATTGTAGTGACCGATAGCACACCTTCCTTCAATTGTTTTCTCTCCACCTTACAATTTTTTTGCCCAACAGTGAGACAAAGGATGGTGCAGCAAAAACCCAATATACGAAAAACTTCAAAATACAAGGGAGTTTCAGAAAAAATATAGGACTGAACATGCAGATATTTAATACTCTGTATTACTTTTTAGATAGGAGAAGAAAGGCTCCTGAACATGAAGTTCAAAGTCCACCCTTTCAAGCATCTGTATGAAAACAAAGAAAAAGATGGTACAATTTCAAGATTTAAACTAATGAAATCAGACAATGATATTTTAAGAAGAAGAAAAAATCGCATTGTCATGCTTACGTAGAGTAACTCGCGTCCTTTTTCCCACACCAACTTATAATTGAACTCATCTTCCTTCTGTTTCAAAGAACATGCTTCTTGCTTCAATGCAACTCTACTATCTGACTGTAATATACTTCCAGATGATATAAACCGATTTATTGAGGTCGCTAGACGTTTGTACAAAGGAACTGTAATAAGGGAACACAGTACAACATTATAAGGCATGGTGTACAAACATGTTGATAGTAATAAAGAGACATTTGCAGGGATGGATGAGAGAGCAGATTTAACCTGTGGGATTGGAAGGGTCATCGTCCAACAGATTGGTGCAAAACTCCTTGGACAAGCCAATGTCTGTTTCAAGATTTCTGGAGACTGATGAAGAAATTGTATGCCTCAGAAGCTCATCTATGCATTGCTGGAGTTCAACTGGAGGCCTCCCAGGTGACAGTGGCTCTTTCAAAGAGACCAAATAATTCCTCTGATTATTTGTCATATGCTTCTGCAACACTTCAGATGTTTCTGCCATTCTGCTCCAACACTACAACCTTCAAATTTGATGGTAGATACTAGCTTATTGATTTTACCGGTTATACCCTCAAGGCCTCAATGTTAATTCATTCAACCTTGAGAGTGTGTCTAGTTCTCATTGTTGGGAAACTCAACTCAGAGTCTAGTGGAAGCAATTAATAATCATACAGCCGATCAAAAATAGTAAACTCAACAAACAAATAAGCAATCAAACGATAAACGACCACGTAGTAGATTTACGTGAAAACCCCAAATCAAGAAAAAAACCACAGGACCCTAAGCACGGTAACTAACACCTTCAATAATCACCAAGAAATTGAGTGGGTACAACCAACAATCCTCTCCTAATCAATTAGAGGCATACACAATCATCAAGTAATGACTTGGAACACAAAAACATTAATAATCTTTACAGAAATGAGAAATCTGAAGTTAGAATCCGCTGAACAAGCTACCCGAACAACTAACTTTATAACAGTTTGATATGTCAAAAATACATCTTAAATTGACATTTAACCAACTATACTTTTTTTCACAAACTAGTTTTATAGAATACTCCCTCGGCCTGTATTAATCAGCATAGTTTGAGCTCATAGAGTTTAATAAACATGTTAAATAATAAAATTGGGTGGTTGAAATTTATCTAGAAAAAAACAAAAAATTGTTTACTACGTTAAGGATTATACATTCTTTATTTTATAAGAGAAATAATGAAATGTAACAAATTTCCTGCAACACACTACAAAGAAAACTACAAAGAAAAGAAAGAGTAAGAAAGCATACAATATTTCATTACAAAATTCTACTCCATTTCAAAAAATACAATTCCTCTTTCATTTTAATGTGCAAAATCCAATCTTCTTTAAAACGCCAAGTTGATATAGAAATGAAAAACAAAACTTACATATTTAAAAAGTATATCAAAAGTTCTACAAAACAAAACAAGTGTGACAAGAATATTTTATTCTAACAAATGACAATGAAAAACCACACGCAATAAAGTTATCAGAAGGTTAGAATTGTAAAGAAGAATTGTTTTTTTTTTTTTTTGAAACAGAGACAATATTATTTACAAATAGGAAGTGCTAGCTTAAATATTGTGAGTGATTTAAAGATTGCCACTTTTAACATGTAAGGTGTAGCTTAAAACATTGGGAGAGGCCAGAAATATCTCAAAAACATCTATGCTCCAGTGTCAAAGACATGAAATTTCATCAGAAGTTCACAAAGTTGCAGAAAAGAGAGAGTATCGGTTGAATTTCAAGAAAAATTTAGAGAGAGTACCTGGGTGAGAAGTTTAATCGCTGAATGAATTTAAGTTGTTGAGCTTCTAAATTTGAGATGTTTTTGGCCTCTCCAAATATTTTACGGAGTAAGGCACAGTTACCTTCAGGCTTAAACTCATAATTTTTCTACTTTTTTTCTCATTCTTATTAATATTAGATCGGATCAGATCTAATGATTACATTCAATCAGACCAGATCAGATCTAATTAAAAATTATTATTGTTGTTGGTGTTCTTAATAATTAAAAATATTAAGATAGTATTTTGTTATCCATTCTCATTTATTTGTGAAATATAACTATAATTTATAAACAGTTCATGTATTTTAACTACTCATATTTCGTTTTTTATATTTTTTTTTATTCAAATGCACTTTCAATTTAAAAAAGCAAATGGGATAGGTACGTAAGCTTTTAAATGTAAAGTAAAAACATATATATCCACCTCAATTTGTACCAAAATTGATATTGAACCATTCCAAACTATTCATAACCGATATTTTAAGATTTGGATTGGTAACATGTAAAATAATAAAAATACCATACTAAACCAAATACTCCGTATATAATATGATATCGATACGAGTTAAATCCCATTATATAACGCACTATGCTCCCCCCAGATGGTCAATGCCCGAGTTCGGCTCGTGTCGAGTCGCCAGACGCTCCCCCCTCTAATAGCGTGGCGCTCCCCACTGCAAATGTCATAAGAAACACATAATACCCTTAATGAAAATGGGTCGAATGTATTAAATGAGGTGTAATAAATAAAGTAAGTGGGGGTAGTTATGGTATTCTAATTGTTAAAAGATGAAATGAGAAGATCTATTATGGACAAAGAAAAAGAGCTATTAAGAACATCTATGGGGGACGGAGAGATAATATTTTATTTTAAAATCCACACTTTACTCTTTTTTCTTCCTTTCGTGCATAGCGGGCCCGCGATAAAAGAGGGAGAAAACACCCATAGCAATTGGAGAGGAGAAATGATGAGAACGAGGGCGTTGTGGTTCACGCTAGGCTTCACCTCCGCCGCGACGGTGGTGGCTCAGTTCGTGCATAAGGATCTGCTCATTGATCGCCACTCTCTCTCTTCAGAGGTAATTTGCCATCGTTTTCCGATCTCAATGATTTCTCGATCTCTCTCTCTCATTTTCTGTTTTATTTTAATTGTTCATTCAATTGTTTTGGGTGACAGTTGAAAGCAAAATTTGGATCCTTAGAAGGAAGAGTCTCAAGTCTCGAAACCGCGCTTCAAGACAGCCCCCAACATCCCCAAGTAAGATCTCTCTGTGTGTGGATGCCTTTTTTTTCATGGAAAAGATTAAAATATGAATCTTAAGTTAAAATTCCAATTCCAGTGTTATTACAGCATGGTATGATATGAAATTATGAATAGAAGATGTGCTCCGAAAGATATTGCACTTCTACTGGATAGAGGTTAGGTTGCAGGTGATCACATTTGAGCCATATGATACCCCCTTTGTCCAGACTAGGCTGTTCATATTTTATTTTTGTGGTGTCGGGATTAGTTGCCTACTTATCGTATACTCGAGTATCTGTATGTTTGTCAACAACTTCAACGTTTACATATAGCATTTTGAAAAGGTTATGTACAAACTTAAAAGTACTGAGTAATCTAGAACACTAACGCAAATTGAAAACGTTGTTCCCAAACGAGGGCTCTGTTCCACAGAGATGTTGATGATGATATGTACTCAAATGATAAGAGAGCAGCGATGCAAAACATGGTCAAATTTCACAATTGATTTGAGACGCAGCCAAGTACCCAAACATGGAATTTTGGGTATGGGAAACAACACTAACTACCCAAATGGGGAAGTTTCGGGAATGGAAAACAAGACTTCAAGGATCCGTGCAATATCGCTTATTCTTTTTAATGATCAAAATTACCCTTAGAGAGCATATTGGCATCACCATAACCTACCTCTGCCCAATCATAATTTTCGTGTACTTTTTGCTTTTCTTTTTTGAAATCAATCATGTGTGATCAATAATAAGTTAACGAGTGAGCATTAATCCACCTTAAAAGAAAAATGTGTGGAAGGCGTATACATTTTTATTATTCTTGCAATCTTACACTTCATAAAATCCAAACAATCCAAAGTTTCAAAAAAATTGCAATAGTAATAGCACAGATCAAATACTTCCTATCTGTGTGCAGTTCCGACACTTTTGTTTTGCCTAATTGTGTGCATATTGACCAGCACAATCCTGGGATTTCCATTTGACCTGTTCATCTTACTGCTTTTGTAGGATGGAGCTAATTAAGAGGTGAAGGACTGGATCTCTTCAAGGACATTATCTGTTTTGGTATTAAAATCTCAAGCAATATTTCTTTCCAATAAAGCTTGATTCCTGCCTTTCACTAGTTGTCCATTGTTCGTCGCGACTTCTCTGTCTCTTTGCAACTAGGAATCAAAACAGCTTGATTGTCTGTCTTTCTAAGCTTCACCTTATGCCAAAAAGGTATGTATGGTTGTTGGTCTTGTTGGTGATTTTAGTGTCATCGGTTTATTTTATGTAATTGGATTTACTTAGATCGGACAAGAATTTTAATAGACGTTGTCAAACGAGTTGTGTGAGAGTATATCAAAAGGCCATAGAACCTAACTTTGAAACTTTTATACAAAACTAAACATAAAATAATGAAGTAATACCTGATTACTGAAAATATTTAATGAAATTTTGAAACTGAAAATTTAAGTCCATTTAGCAAGGATGGGTGAGATGCTGTTATGAATGATTTATTCAGTCCTGAAAAATATTTCTCAAATACGAGAGGAAGGGATAGATTCAAAGGAACAGACTAAATAGGAATTAAACATAAAATCTGGTGGTATTGCAACAATTTCAAAGCTCAAGTTTGATGTCATTACTTTGGCTCGAGTTTTGAGTCCCAAAAAAAATCTATGTCAGAGTTTAATTCCCAGAAATACATAGAATATTTTGTAAAACGAATCATGAAACTAATATGAAATCTAAGGAAGCCAAAGTATATTTGAAGCTAATATGAAGTTATAGTGTCAAGATCTATATAGATTTTCAACAAAAAAATATTCAGTGAGATCTATGAAGAAATGTTCTGGAAATAAAAATGTTCTGGGTTGAAGATTCTAATATGCAATGAAGACACTATTCCCACAAATTGTGCAAATAATGTAATCTATAAAGAAGTCTTTCGAAGTTGTAAAACATCGATATTTTGTATCTTAAAATAATATAATCTGTACATTTTATTGCATCTCATTTTTTATCATTGAAAAACGATTTGAATGTAATAACATAAAAATGACCCGTGCAACGCACGGGTGTGATACTAGTAGATTTTCAACAAAAAAAATATTCAGTGAGATCTATGAAAAAATGTTCTGGAAATAAAAATCATGCATGTTCATTGAATCAATACTATACCTTTTTCGAGGCAAAACAAATGGTCATAGATCGAAGACCCCCTCTATACAGACCTTAAAGGTCAAAATTTAGATCAAAATTGAAACTATTCGGATCTAGATGCAGAGGTATAGAAGAAGAGATAGAAGTAGATGTCGAAGTGGAATTACCATCGGAAATGAGGAGCGAAGAAGAGATCGAAGCATATGTTGTGTGAGAGTATATCAAAAGGCCAAATATATGGGCTTAGGCCTGCCTGTTTGAAAATTGGAATTGGGCTTGATCCTGATTTTCTTTTAAATAATCTAGTGTGTGAGGTTTAGGTTCAATGGTCTAATGTTTATCAATACACATTTCTAATGTTTCAATATTTCTACTTATAATTTTTAAAATATTTATAAAGTTATGTACTAATATTTAGTATTTCTTCTTTCTATATAAAAATTAAGATTTTTTTAATAATAATATTTAGCGGTGAGCAAATTAACCGGACCGATCGCGAAACTGAAAACCAAAAACCAAAAACCAAAATTACCAAAAATTTGGTTTCGATTTCGGTTTTCATGTAAAAAGTATTTTCGCTTTTTTTGTTTTACGGTTGGTTTTCGATTTTTCGTAACAAAAAAACGAACCGACCGAATAACCGATGACTTTATTTTAATTTATTTTTTATTTTTTAGAATAAGAAAATATTTAATTTACGCACATGCTTTCTTCTTACTCTTTCATGAAAAAATTTAATGTTTGACTTTAAAAAAAATATTTTTTAATGTATTAATAAGAAAACTGCAATTTTTATATGAAATGGATAGTGTATATTAAAATAAAAATTAATCTACCTTACTAAATTAATGACAATAGAAAAGTTTTAAACTAAACTAATTTAATACATATCAATCTACCTCACCGAATTAGTTTCTTGAATTTATATTAAAAAGTGAAAATAAAAGTAATTAAAATTCGGTTTTTCGATCAATTTTTTTGTATGGACAGTTTTCGGTTCGGCCGGTTTTAGTTTATGATCGGTTTGATTATGTCAATTTTCAACCATGTTAAAAAAATCAGTTTTTTCGGTTTCAGACCGAAAGCAACCAAAATTGAATGTTGCTCAGCCCTAATAATAATTATACATGTAATGTGAAAATAATAGTATATGAATCAAGTTTATTGCACAGTCGGATATCATTACACATTTCTAATGTTTTGATATAATTTAATTTTTTTAAAAAAATATATTGCTAATTTTTAGCATTTCTTCTTTACCATCTCTATCGACACCTCATAAAAGCTTACAAGATTTATTGTTTGGAGCCACTTGCAAGCATAATCATTTCAAAAAAAATATTCATGCCTACAACAATATGTTTTGATTCACTTCAATGGGTGGAAAAATTGATCATTCCATTAATAACGAAAGAAGGCCACCTACTTACACTCTGAATGGACAGAACTACCATAAAAATTGAGACATTCCTTTCTACGAGAAGTGCAAATTCAAAAGTTCACATAGCGGTACATTTATGATACGTCAAACAAGGTCAATAAAACGATTAAATCAAACATGTAGATGTGTAAATTAATGTATCTGTAATACATTTTTTAACAATTATTTATTATGTGTTGTATATACAGAATCAGGATTGAGGGTCTAAGGCTGACCTAGGAGAGTGATTTGATTCACCCCAAATTGTATTATCATGACTCTTTAATTTAATGATCTATTCGCTTTACCTAATCCCATGTATAATTGTGTACCGATAACATAGCCAATTTCCCATGAGTAACATGTCCAATTTCTCAAATCCTAATAGCCAAATTTAACATAGCTACAAAATTAAGAGTAATGCTAGGGGTACACACCAAGAGGTGTACCCCAAATGTACACCATCCTCATTTCCTTCACACATTTTTATTTGATTTTTATTTATTTATTTTTTTGAATTTTTTTACCTTTTTTAGTGGACAAGGAGGGGGTGGGGGATATTTGGGGTGTACCCCTAGCATTTTTTAAAAATTAAATGCCCTATTGTTTTTTTAAAATAGTACTCGTAGCAGAGTATAATGAAGCCCGTGAAATATTACTCGGGGATATTTCCCAATTCCCAAATGCTTGCGCCCTAAACCTAATCGTGGGATTTGAAGAACATCCGACGGCGGGAAAGAGAGCTAGACGGAGTCGAGAAGGACGACGCCACCGCCATCGACCGGAATCCATCTTTTGGATTTCCTATCTCCTATTTCTCCAGGTGCGATTTCTTCGCTTTATTCTTCTGGCTTGTAATGAACTGTAATTAGTAGTACTGAATCCGAGTAAATATTTTCAGAAAAATCTCAATCTAAACTCAAATTCAACTTAGCTAGGTCATGGAATCTGGAAGGAAAAGAAAAATGTTTTTTTAAAATCTCATTTTCACATTTTCACGTTCTATAATGTTTTCAAACAAATTATTCAAAATATGCAAGTGAAACACGACTGTGATTGATGGTGGTTAAATGTTGATTTTTGAACCAATGCTCAACAAAGACCACTGATTAATCAGGCACCATTGGTTAATTGATATATGGTGGGTATTTGGACATGATTTTGGGCCGGAAAATCTTTGGCTGATTTTATGTCATATAGAAGGTAAAGGTTTAGCAACAACAACAACAACCCAGTTGAATCCCACTACAGTAGGGTCTGGGGAGGGTGTGTGTACGCAGACCTTGCCCCTACTCGGGAGTAGGGAGGCTGTTTCCTGAAGGTAAAGGTTTAGCATCTGTTTATAATACTTTATACCCTAAACAGAAAACCCAGGGCAAGCGGAGAGGATGATAAAAGATAAGAGAGGGGTATTGCTTAATGTGGCTTGGTTTGCACTGGGCTACTCATCCGTCAGTGAGTGGGTGGCTGAACATGTCTATAAGGATCTTCTTCTTGACCGCTATTTGTTCCATACTGAGGTAATTTGCCTTATTTTTCTGATTTCAATGATTCTTCGATTGGGTTTTTCTTCAAATTCTTCATTCCATTTCTTTGTTGTTGTTGTTGTTGCAGTTGAAATCGAAAATTAGCTCACTGAATGGCAGACTCTCCAGTCTTGAAGCTGACCTTCAAGACAGCCCCAAACAGCCTCAGGTAATTAAGAACAATTATTGTCAATGTTAAATACGAATCTCAATTTAAACCTCCAGTTTCAATGTGATAACTGTGTGTGTTTAGGCAATATTGTGTGCATATGAATGACCAGCACAATTCTGTGATTGCCATTTCACCTGTGTTCATCTTATCATTTGTGTAGGGTGGTGTCAGGGAGACATTTAGGAGGTGAAGGACTGATCTATTCGGGGAAATGAGTTCTATATGATGATGTGAATTGGCCAGGTCGAATATATTTATCTAGACTAAGACCGAGTTTATGCTGATGAGCTATGTGCCTATGTATATATACCAGACCTTCATCCAAACCGAAAAAACGAGGTCTGAAGGCGGGGTTTACATTCGTACATTGAGCTCTAACTTGCCCTTAAAAGATCTCAAAGACACTTCCTCTTTCATTTTTTTCACTTCCAACAAAACACTTCCACTTTCTATTAAAAAACACTTTTACCCTTACTTTTTCATACCCTACCTATCACATCATACTTTTTTTCTAATAATTAATCCATCACATCTTACTTTTATCCATCACATCAAGGGCAAAATTGGAAGTCAAATATAATTTTACACTTCCTTATTTTGGCTCCAAGTCAAAGTAGGAACCTTTTTTACAAATTTTTTTACAAATGGAGGGAGTATTAACAAAATCACTGAATAAAAGATGCTAAGCTTGGAAGAAGGTCTAGTCTAGTATATATACATGATAAATGCTAGGGGTACACCAAAGGTGTACCCCATTTATCCCCCACTCCCTTCATTACCACATAAATGGGTAAGAACTTTAAAAAAAAATTAAATAAATAAAAATTAGATAAAAATGAGTGATAAAGAAGGGGAAGGGGGACAAATGGGGCACATCCCTAGCATTGCTCATATACGGAGTACATAACTAGAAAGTCTTTGGGTCCATTTTAAGTGCAAATGGAAACACAAAACGTGTGTGGTCAACAAACCCGGCACTAAAAGTTGAAACGAAAGAAATCATATTGGCAAAAGAGTAGACGTTGACAAAAACTATTATTTGACATGACAATTTGTACTCCATCAAATGCAATTATGCAATCGGTATTCAATCCCAATTGACTACGGACTAGTGGACTACTACACCCAAATTATGCAAACAATAGATCTAGTT